ACACACACACACACACACACACTCACTCACTCACTCACACACACATTCACTCACTCTCACACACACATTCACTCACTCACTCACTCACACATACACACATTCACTCACTCTCACTCACACATTTACTCACTCACTCACTCTCAAACACACACACACACACACACACATTCACTCACTCACTCACTCACACACACATTCACTCACTCTCACACACACATTCACTCACTCTCACACACACATTCACTCACTCTCACACACACATTCACTCACTCTCACACACACATTCACTCACTCTCACACACACATTCACTCACTCTCACACACACATTCACTCACTCTCACACACACATTCACTCACTCTCACACACACATTCACTCACTCTCACACACACATTCACTCACTCTCACACACACATTCACTCACTCTCACACACACATTCACTCACTCTCACACACACATTCACTCACTCTCACACACACATTCACTCACTCTCACACACACATTCACTCACTCTCACACACACATTCACTCACTCTCACACACACATTCACTCACTCTCACACACACATTCACTCACTCTCACACACACATTCACTCACTCTCACACACACATTCACTCACTCTCACACACACATTCACTCACTCTCACACACACATTCACTCACTCTCACACACACATTCACTCACTCTCACACACACATTCACTCACTCTCACACACACATTCACTCACTCTCACACACACATTCACTCACTCTCACACACACATTCACTCACTCTCACACACACATTCACTCACTCTCACACACACATTCACTCACTCTCACACACACATTCACTCACTCTCACACACACATTCACTCACTCTCACACACACATTCACTCACTCTCACACACACATTCACTCACTCTCACACACACATTCACTCACTCTCACACACACATTCACTCACTCTCACACACACATTCACTCACTCTCACACACACATTCACTCACTCTCACACACACATTCACTCACTCTCACACACACATTCACTCACTCTCACACACACATTCACTCACTCTCACACACACATTCACTCACTCTCACACACACATTCACTCACTCTCACACACACATTCACTCACTCTCACACACACATTCACTCACTCTCACACACACATTCACTCACTCTCACACACACATTCACTCACTCTCACACACACATTCACTCACTCTCACACACACATTCACTCACTCTCACACACACATTCACTCACTCTCACACACACATTCACTCACTCTCACACACACATTCACTCACTCTCACACACACATTCACTCACTCTCACACACACATTCACTCACTCTCACACACACATTCACTCACTCTCACACACACATTCACTCACTCTCACACACACATTCACTCACTCTCACACACACATTCACTCACTCTCACACACACATTCACTCACTCTCACACACACATTCACTCACTCTCACACACACATTCACTCACTCTCACACACACATTCACTCACTCTCACACACACATTCACTCACTCTCACACACACATTCACTCACTCTCACACACACATTCACTCACTCTCACACACACATTCACTCACTCTCACACACACATTCACTCACTCTCACACACACATTCACTCACTCTCACACACACATTCACTCACTCTCACACACACATTCACTCACTCTCACACACACATTCACTCACTCTCACACACACATTCACTCACTCTCACACACACATTCACTCACTCTCACACACACATTCACTCACTCTCACACACACATTCACTCACTCTCACACACACATTCACTCACTCTCACACACACATTCACTCACTCTCACACACACATTCACTCACTCTCACACACACATTCACTCACTCTCACACACACATTCACTCACTCTCACACACACATTCACTCACTCTCACACACACATTCACTCACTCTCACACACACATTCACTCACTCTCACACACACATTCACTCACTCTCACACACACATTCACTCACTCTCACACACACATTCACTCACTCTCACACACACATTCACTCACTCTCACACACACATTCACTCACTCTCACACACACATTCACTCACTCTCACACACACATTCACTCACTCTCACACACACATTCACTCACTCTCACACACACATTCACTCACTCTCACACACACATTCACTCACTCTCACACACACATTCACTCACTCTCACACACACATTCACTCACTCTCACACACACACACACACACACACACACACATATATATATATAGTTATGTATAGATCAGTTACAGACACACACACACACAAACAGCTGCTTATCAATTCAATGACAAACATTGCGTAATGCTCCACAGATCAGTTATATATGTATGTATATAGAGCCTGACGCAGTGTCAGTGCTTGAGCTGATGAGCAGCTGTCTCGTGCTTCTGCAGTAAACACTCACGGTCTCCGCTCCGCTCGGCTGCTGGCCTGGCGGCTGCCTTCCCACGGCTTCCCAGATGTAGTTCATCCTCCTGCGTGTCCGCGTTCGCTAATGTTTTAAATGTAGATGTTCACAGAGTAAACTTCTGTTAAACTGAAGGGATTTTCCAGGACGGGCAGAGAGTAAATGTCATTAAAACAGCTGCTGTCTGATGTTGACCTCTCGGCACGACAGCGCAGCCCGGAACTGACCCGGACGCGCATGCGCAGAGACGTGACGATACGTGGCTGACCTCAACGTCGATGACGTTCCCTTAAAGAGACGGTTACACCAGAGCCGGTCGAAACATGCTGATTAACTATATATTAACACACTATTAATATTAATATTACTATACTAATATACCATTATTTCTAATAACAGTAATAATGAAAGATAAAGAAATCATATAACATAAAATCATCCAGAAATGTACATTTTTAAGAAAGATGCTGACATATATTTACATTTTTCCAAAAAAAAAAGAATTGCTTGTAGACTTTGTAATTCTGTGGTGTAAAACTTCTAAGTCAATGTAATATGCTTGTAAAATGTGTGTTATTTTTTGTTACATAAAGTATTAAAAAGCTAAAACCGCCATTCTGAATGCTTCTTTATGTTGTTTTATAAGGTAAACCTGAACTTGTCTTTCGATTTAAATCCACAACACTTGCACCGAACAGCACAGATTTCAGTTTATTGTATGTCAAGTCTAACACATCGAAACTGAATGAAAATGAAATAAAAATAACAAAAAAATAAATTAATAAATATCCAGCTGCAACATATTCTACTCACACAAAAACACAGTCCGAGTAAAATAATATAGAAAGCACCTTCTAACACTAGACTGTGTGCTTGTTCCAGCTAAATGAACTACATTTCTAAACCTCACAGTAACTGCATGGAAACCAACGCCTTGCATTAGAATTAGAGGGTTAAAAAGAACCGGATTAAATGATATGAACAAATGAAACAAACGGAAGTCTGATGCATATCTTGGGCTGAAAAGCAGAGTTATCTGACCAAGCCCTATGGAGTAATGTCTTCTTTTTTCTCTCCTGCAATCCAAACGCTCAGAGTATGTGGCTGATTGAAGTGCTTGGAGTCTGAAAAGAAAGGCCATCGTGGCGTTTATTCACACAGTAATGAAAAGCTCCAGAACTGGTAAGAACTAGTGGATGGAGAAAGAAGTCTCTAGACACACTTTCTTCCAAACGCAAATGCATCTGCAACCAAGAGTCTTTTTACATTGAACAAGCCGTCCCCAAAAATGAACAAATAAAGAAGAAATGCAATGTCCCTGATGAGGACTGTCCTAGAAATACTGCACATAGTGCAATCTACCAGACACGGAAGACATTAAACATCAAGAATAGCGCAACATTAAACTGTACTTACAAAATCAGTGCAAAGTTTAGACTTGAGTGCTTATGCTTCCTCCAACTGATGAAGAACAGCATTCACATGTTCCTCATTATGACCAAAAAAGAAAGCAGGCGTGGATATCAAACAAATAAAAAAAGTAAAAAATAATAATTTTTTAAAAATAATTCCCCGCCAAAAAAGGCATACATTCTGAACAGTCCAACACTTCCTGGGGAAAAAAAATTAAATTTTGAAAATGTGCATTAATGAAACGACCATGTTTTTTCTAATCAGTGCTATTTAAAATGCCATTAATAATAATACTTTCATTAAAAGAAATGTAGAAGACAAAACTAGTCCATTTGGGAAAGTCAGAAATGCACCAGCAAAGTTTGTCTGTACCCTGTATATATACTGTCATGTTTTAATTTTTAAAAATATGTCTCGGATGAAAAATGAAAATCATATCACAAATCGAGATTTAGATTTTGAACACAAACTAAAAAAAAAAATTAAAAAAAAAAGGATTATTGAGAATTTAAATTTAATAAAGTGGCTCTGCCTTAAGAAAAACATTCAGCATAAATCCCAAAAAAAATCCCGACACAAAAATCTTGATCTTTCCACTTTACAAACGCTTCTATAAGTGCTCCGTTCCCTCATTCAGGCAGACCCAGAAGACAAAGGAAAAACGCTGCCAAATCTGTACATTAAAAAAGAAAAACCTTTCGCTTATTCATGAGCCGAAAAGAGAAACAACCTAAATAACAGCCTGAAAAACAAACTAAAAATAATTTTCAAAAAGGCCTTCGACCCTTCAGTCTGCACATTTTACACCAATAGCAACTGGAGGGTAATCTAACACGAAATGTCAAAGAAGGGTACTTCTACAGACTCGTTTCCCTACAAAGTGTGCAACCGTTCGATAAATGACAACCCAGAGGACTTGCAACACAACTCCAACTGAAAGTGAACTGTGTTTTGAATCATGAGGTTGTTCAAGTTGTTGATCTGTTTCTCGTTCCAAAGGCAAAAACGCAAGTGTACAACACAAGGAGTAAAAACGCAGAAAACTCAAGTATGCATTCACGTAGACTTCTCAGTATGGAGATGAATGAAGGGAGCTCCTCTCAACGCCTCGGAGCGGTGAAGCGGCCCTCACTGGAACCCGCGCTCCTCCCAGGGGCCACGGCACGTGACGGGGGGCCCCTGGCTTCCCGCTCGCGCATCATGAAGCCACGGGGTCCCCCCGGAGCCCAGTCACCGCGCCTGGCGTCCCGCCGGTCTTCTGCTCCACTACGGGTTTCCCGCTCGCGCATCGCACGCGTCTTCTTCTCCTCCACGTTCAGACGCACCTCGCCACGGAACATGATGGGCTAATCACAAATTAAATATACTCTCAATATCATATCTGTTCACATGAAGAAATTTATTACAAAAAAAAAAAAAAAGCTTGAGGTTTTGTCCCTATTTATCTTGGATGTACACTGCTGTTGAATAGTTTGGGATCAGTAAGATTTTAAGTGTTTTTAAAGAAGTCTCTTCTGCTCATCAAGCCTGCATTTATTTATCAAAAATGCAGTAAAAATAGTGAAATATTATTACGGTTTAAAACAGCTGTTTTCTATGTGAATCTCTGTTAAAGTGTCATTTATTTCTGTGATCAAAGCTGAATTTTCAGCATCAGTCTTTAGTGTCACATGATCCTTCAGAAATCAACAAAGGTGTATGTTACTTTGTAGAGTCATTTACAACAGCTTTGAACGCGGCTCAGCCAATCAGAATCAAGCACCGGAACTATCCGCTTTATAATATGCTGATTTATTATCAATGTTGGAAACAGTTTTACAGCTCAATATTTTTTTTTGGAACCGGTGATACTTTTTTCAGGAGTCTTTGATGGATAAAGTTAAAAAGGACAGCGTTTATTTAAAATAATGTGCGGTGGTGTGTTTGGGATTGTTTTTGTGTTAGAAATTAAATCACATTAAACAGATCCTCTATACTCCTCTGAAAGAGATGAAACGGCAGATTCCTCATAATTGCGCATCTCATTCAAGACTTCATATTTTTCTTTATCAATGATCTTTAAAATAGTACAGAATTTAAATATTGGCCATCAGCCAGAACATGAAAATAATCACCAGCTTATTGTGTCGGCCAGAATTGTTAAATAAATCAATAGAAGTTCCTAAAAATGTTTTAAAGCGACATGCACCAAAATAAAATGAGCTTTCCTTACTTTAACGCCTAAAATTCTCTGCACCGGCTCAGAATCATCGAAGATAACGAAGCCAAAGTTGGGAATCTTTCCTCCAGTGCCTTTGGTGTTGATTCGCAGCTCGACCACATTTCCAAAGGCTTGACGGAAAGAGAGAAAGAACAAGCAAATGTGAAGAAGATTGATTCATAGATATCAACGTGATGGTTACCAACAGTGTTGGGGAAAGTTACTTTTTAAAAGTAATGCATTACAATGTCGCATTACTCCATAAAAAAGTAACTAATTACGTTACTTAGTTACTTTTTATGGAAAGTAATGCGTTACGTTACTTTTGCGTTACTTTTTAAATCTGGACAGGGCTTGCTTGTTTGTTTTTAAAATAAAAAAGTTATATTTTTGGCAAATATAAAAGCCTTTTCACACCAAAAGTGAAATGAATAAGCCTCAGGCTGAAGGGAAAGTAAATTTACATCCGTACAGTAGAATACAGAAGAAGAAATTTCAACACACTTCAGCAATAAAAAAAGACACACAAATGTTTGTCTAGAGTAATTTTGGCTTATTAGTACGGTTGAACTGGATCATCGAAGGTCAGAAGAAAATAGAATGGGATTAAATACATAAAGGATATTTGTGTTGTTTAACATTTAATTATTGCAGGTTTGCGTCATATTCTGAGTTGCATTATTTTTATTCATTTTGAGGAATACTGAATCTGTGGGGGGTTTTTTTGTGAGTGAGATGAATTAATGCATATTCATATTTATTTTAGAACTACAGTAACATCTTCTGATTTCTCTCAACATGGGGACAGGAGAGCTGTCAGTCAATGAATGGGAAAACAAAGTAACTTGCGTTACTTATTTGAAAAAGTAACTCCGATATTCTCTTCTAAATTAAAAAGTAATGCGTTACTTTACTAGTTACTTGAAAAAAGTAATCTGATTACGTAACTCGAGTTACTTGTAATGCGTTACCTCCAACACTGATTACCACAAACTTACTCAAGAAGAAGTCTTTGAGCTCACTCTCATCGATGTCATGAGGGAGGTTGCCAACAAACAGCTGATGACTGTCTGGATACCGGAGCACCCTTCTGCTGTCCACTTCACTCGAATCATCAGCCCTTCCTAACAACACAGAGCAGATCTCACCTGCTAGGACCAACAACATCAGCCTTTCCACACCCATAAACCACAAACGAAAGCTCAAACCAATTCACAACGGAAAGACAAGTTTACCTTTATTTACGAAGCTGAAAAGTGGCTTTCCCGTCTGAGAGTCAGAAGATGAGACGCCATCTAATGATACACAAGGAAAGCAGAAAACAATCAAAACTGGGTAACGATCACAAAAATGCTAATTTGTAGTAAAATAAAGTCACTACATCCTTTAGGCATGAATAAAGAACTAGTTATGTACATGGATTATAATTTTGCGCTTATGTGAGTATAACTATCATGGACATTTGTATGTATTTACAGAATTGTATACATTTATATAATCAAGTTTATTTATGGATTTTATTTTGATATACTGTAGATATAATAATAACAATCTGAACATGCAACTGTAACCTGTTTGTGGCCTATATGTGACAATGACTTGGATTTTTTGTGTCTTCATATATGTGACCCTGGAGCACAAAACCAGTCATAAGAGTCAATTTTTTTTAATTGAGATTTATACATCAGCTGAAAGGACAATATTTGGTCGAGATACAACTATTAAAAAATCTAAATATTGAGAAAATCATCTTTAAAGTTGTTTTAAAGAGCCTTTGGATTTACGCACCCAGAAAACCTACATTTGGTGCTACACCACTTGCGTCTTCGTTAATGAAATAATTACCAGATCTCGGCCCTCTGGAGGTCACTGAGGGTCTGTCTCGGATGCGCTGGTCACGTGGACGGATTGACGCTGATGACAGCTCTGCCTTGGCCTCAACTCTGGGCTGACAACAGTAAAAGTCAAGAAAGCACGCATAAGAAACACGGTTCGAGTACCGCTGTGTCCACAGCATCATATGAAGATGAGGAAGAACGATCTGAATATATTCATAAGCAGCTACCTGTGAGTTTGGTGCTTTAATAACATGTGGTTGAGCTCCAGAGGACGGAACAGTCCCAGCGAGAGGCAAGTTTTTGCTGGTCACTGAAGCCCAAGACGAAGTCTGCCAGAGACAGGATCATTTAGACCCAGCATAACTTATCAGGAATAATAATAAAAATAACAATCTAGATTTTTTTTTTTAACTTAACAGTGAACAAATTATACTGGAATAAGTGCATACTTAAATAAATAAACGTAATTATCGTACTATCAAAGTACTAATCAATCTCTTATGTGATTTGTTCAACTAAAATACGTGACCCTGGAGCACAAAATCAGTCTTAAAGGGATAGTTCACCCAAAAATGAAAATGAGCCCATAAATTACTCACCCTCAAGTCATCCTAGCTGTATATGACTTTCTTCTTTCAGACGAATCCAGTCGGAGTTATATTAAAAATGGTCTTTGATCTTTCAAGCTGTTTAATGCCACTCAGCGGGTGTTGCATGCTTCAGTCCAAAAGAAGTTAAATAAAAAGCGCCCATCCATAAAAAAAAATCATTAGGATATTAAGTAAAGATCATGTTCCATAAAGATATTTTGTAAATTTCCTACCGTAAATATATCAAAACTTAATTTTTGATTAGTAATATGCATTGCTAAGAACTTCATTTGGACAACTTTAAAGATGATTTTCTCAATATTTAGATTTTTTTGCACCCTCAGATTCCAGATTTTCAAATAGTTGTATCTCAACCAAATATTGTCCGATCCTAACAAACCATACATCAATGGAAAGATTATTTATCCAGTTTTCATGTGATGCATAAACCTCAATTTCGAGAAATTTACCCTTATGACTGGTTTTGTGCTCCAGGGTCACATATATGGAAGCCTGTTTCCACCACTGAATAAAATTCTGCATTTTTTAACACGGGTTAACTACAGCTTCCCTGCAGTTGATGTATAAACGGCATTAACGGTCAGCATTTACTTTGGGTGGTTCCTGTATGTTAGGTGGTGATTCCATAGGATCAGGAGATGGTGCTTTCTCCTCAAACTCCTCTACCATCTTCTCCTCTGCCTTGAGCTTCGGCTCCTCGATCTTGGGCTCCTCGGCGACCTCGGGCTCTAGCTCCAGAGCCGCTTCCTCGTGAGCTTCTTCCACACCGTTGTTACAGCTGAAGGTGAACAAGACATTAGACAACTTATAAAAGGGGAAGCAGGAATTCAAGCTTTCAACATATTTACTCAACAGTACCATACTGGAACAGGAATCCTCTACAGTTATAATCTAATACAGTTTATAAAACGGAGAGTTCCGGTGCTTGATTCTGATTGGCTGAGCCACGTTCAAAGCTGTTGTTAATGACTCTACAAAGTAACATACACCTTTGTTTACGTTTGTCTGTTGCTCGGCAACCACTTTGTTACAACCACAACTGTTTCTGAGGAGCTACATTGTTTGGTGGAAGAATACTGTTTTTATTAATATCATTACACTTTATTTGCTCTGTTTTATTTTGTGAAACCTTACTACGTATATGGAATAACCGTTTTATAAAAACAATAATCCCTGTGAAGCCGTGGTTTACAGTGAATTTATAACAGCTAAGGGGGTTTATATTATAACTCGTACCTAACAACGCCCCTTAGCTGTTATAAATTCAATGTAAACCACGGCTTCTTGGGGCTTATTGCTTTAATAGTAGGCTGAAAGTGAAACAGTGGTCACCTGACAGCATGGGCTTCATAGCTGTCCAGGAGCGGTTCGGGCGACGGTTGCCGGTCTTCTGGCTCATCAGTTTCATCTTCCGACTCTGTCCCAACATAATATATAACGTAAAAAAAAAAAAACTGAATGAGGAAGTACTATCCCTTTGCTTTAAAACATTACTGTAGCTCTAAAGAAACCAACTCACAAAATATTTTGCGAAAAGTTATTCCTGACAGAACTCAAGTATTTTGTATGGTTGACTTCCGTCTATAATAAAACAGACTGTTTATATCCTCAGCATCCATCCAAACAAAGTTCTATGAAGCCCAAATGGTATACAATTACAAACAATGAGATGAGCATTAATTAAGTTCAAGTGGCTTTTTTAGATGTAGTTGTAATTTGTGCAACTAAACGATGGAAAATGCTGCATCTGCTTCACTGGTGTAATGAACGGAGGCTTTGAATAATCAAGACTTTGACTTTTGCAAAATAAATAAATAATAATAATAATAATAAAACTATTAAATAAATGCATACATAGGGGTTAAACGACTTCAGATTTTTTAAAGTCAACATTTATGTGATGAAAGCTGCTTATGCAAGCCTGAACCTTGAGCTGAGACTCGAACACCAGCTCATTTTTATCAGTTCTTTTGTCTTTGGGTCGTTAGACTTCTCACTGATTTCTGCTCATTCCAAATATCTATATCTAACTAAACAAGCTTAAATTTGCATATTCAAAAAAGTCATGTCCAGGCAAAGAGGGGGGATTCATTGAGCGAGCGGTTCATCAGAAGAAGATTTGTATTGGTTTGACTTAAAATGTCAAATAATGAAAACATTTTCAAGGTTGGACTCACGAGATAATTTGCTCCACGTGGGGATTTTCATGCCAACTTTTAAGTTTGTAGCTCAAGTGATGTAGCAGGGCTGATGTTCGAAATGTTGCAAATTTAACTGCTAGTTGCTAGGCAACCATAAATCACATCCATCTCAAAACAACACAAAATATAATCAGCCATAGACCATTTAAGCACTTAAAGTAAGGTGATTTTTCACTAAATGCAAAAAAAAAAAAGTGATATTAGAATAAAATAAAAAATCTAATTAGCAGCAAATGAAAATCATGGGGTCCAAGTAGACTGCAAAAGTGAAGAAAAGTATAGTATATATATATTTATTTAATGCCATGTCAGCATCAAAGGCTATTTTCATGGCAAAAACAATTAAAAAAAATACAAGTATAACAAAAACCAGCAAACAAACAAACAAAAGTTATATCACACAAGATTTTTTATATTAACGTGTGATAAAAATTCTAAAACTTTTCCTGGCAAAATTTTACTAAACTCGTTAAGCGAGTTCACTTCATAAAAGAGTTTTCTCTGTACATTAAAAGCTGGACAAAAGTGAAGAAAAAGGTATGGATATGAGAAGTGACAGTCTTATTATAGATGCTGCATGCAGGGCTGATGTTCGAAATGTTGCTATGTGAAATGTAACTGCTAGTTGCTAGGCAACCATAAATCACATCCATCTCAAAACAACTAAATATAATCAGCCATAGACCATTTAAGGTGAATTTTCACTAAATGCAAAACAAAAAAAAGTGATAGAAGAATAAAAAAAATATCAAATTGGCAAGCAAATGAAAACCATGGGGTCCAAGTAGACTGTAAAAGTGAAGAAAAAGGTATGGATATGCGTGTAATAATCTTTAATTATCAACTAACCTTCATCCAGCTCCGCCTCGGAGTCACCGAAGACCTCGTCCTCATATCGGAAGATATCATTGTGAACATAAAACTTATTTGCCACAGAACCCTAGATACAAAAACAATAAAACAAAAACATTTCAGGGCAAATTAAGACCATTTGTGACCCTGGAGCACAAAACCAGTCATACAGGTCAATTTTTGAAATTGAGAGTTATGCATAAGCTTTAATAAATAATCTTTCCATTGATGTATGGTTTGTTAGGATAGGACAATATTTGGCTGAGATACAACTATTTGAAAATCTGGAATCTGAGGGTGCAAAAAAATCTAAATATTGAGAAAATCATCTTTAAAGTTGTTCAAATGAAGTTCTTAGCAATGCATATTACTAATCAAAAATTAAGTTTTGATATATTTACGGTAGAACATTTACAAAATATCTTCATGGAACATGATCTTTACTTAATATCCTAATGATTTTTGTCATAAAAGAAAAATGTATAATTTTGACCCATACGATGTATTGTTGGCTATTGCTACAAATATACTCCAGCGACTTAAGACTGCTTTTGTGCTGCAGGGTCACATATGAAGGCCCACAGAAACCCCATACTAAATACCAACCTGGAGGTGAACACCAATGCAGATGATTATTTGGTGTTTAATAACTGCAATTGGTTTACAGTAATCAATGCTTGACAGCAGAGGGAACGCGCATGCCACGCTCTCATTATACACACCTCTGGAGCCAGAACAAATGTCTGCAGGAACCTCCTCATGGGCTGGCCGTTGTTGGACAGTTCTCCCATGACTTGCACAACCACAGCATCGCTCAGAGAGGCGTGTGCATCCACATGCCGGATCTTTGTGTGGCACTCACTGAACTGCAGGGACATCACCTTCTGATGGATCTCCTGTAGATGAGGTCCGCAGGTGCTGGTGAGTATCTTCATCACTCTACAGGCTACACATGATTACATAACAATCATTAGCACTTACAGCCTGCCCATAGACTGCCTCTGAAAGCTTTCCATTGGCATCCAGTCCACCATGGACATAGGATGAGTTCCGCCCATAAAATCTGAAACGTGAGAACGTTTTTAGTCATTTTTATTCCTCGGAAGCCATGAAAGGAAGGAAATCATGATATACCTGTGCAGAAAGTCTGGTGCTTTATTGAGAAGCGTGTAATACTGTCTCACAAACTCCCGCCCTACCAGCAGGGGACTGGGCTTCTCCATCACCATTTCTGTGCTCAGAAGTCCCAATCTGAAGGGAGTAAAAATATGCATTATACTACTACTACTACTACTAACACTAATAATAATAAATATATAGAAAACATTCAAAACCGTCTTCCACTTCTCACTAGCAAATTGACATTTTTTAAATCATTTGCATTGTCTTTAACATTCCAAGAATGCTTTCATGTAATTTATTATAATGATGCTTACATGAAGGCTGCTTCAATGCATTAAGAAAAATTACAAAAACAGGTTACTCTTTACTAGCTGTCAATAACATCACAAGCAACATTTATTCATGCACAATAATTAAAAATAAATGATGACATCTGAATGAATATAAAAAACGAAGCATGTCGAAATGAACTGAAATGCTTTAGGATTTATAGATCCACTTACGTTTTTCTGGGATCTATTTGATTTAAGGATTTAATAAATAAGTCTAACTGCTGTGCGTGTCAGTGAAATCACAGATAAAGTCCAGCTATGCTGATATTAATGGAAATGCTGCTGCTCGGATCTTTATTGTCTCACCCCTGCGATCTGGGACAGGAAGCCCCGTCACACTGCAACAGCCAATCAGCGTCTTACACTCGACAACACAGTTATGACGCTGCTACAGCGCGCTCCTCCGACCAGTGTTGCCAGATCCTCGGTTTTCCCGCGGAATCGGGCTACTTTATCACTGTTGCAGACCAGCGGGTTGTTTACAAGCGGCAGCCTCCCGCTCTCTCTCGTGAAGCCAGCACGGAAGTGACTAAAACTGCAATTCATCGGATGGCCGCTAGAGGCTGGCTGCAAAAGCGAGTCAGTCCCATAGACTCCCCATGATAAAATGCCCAACTTTACAGCAGAAAAAACATTTTTACAGCCTGGAACAAAAAGTGGTTTTGGTCTATATAGCTAATTTTGCCCTTCATGACAACTGTGAGGGGGGTGAATTTTTTTATAACTCATCCGTTTTAAATTATATTAAGCCTTAAAGTTCTGCATAATTAAGGGCGTGGCCACTTGAGTGACAGGTGGATTGCCCTGCTGTCACCACCGTCGAGCTAGGTGGGCGTGGTTTCAGCAACCAGCTCCCGCCTCTTTGCCCATTTTCGATTATCCGGGAGTGACGCGCTGCCAAGATGGCGACGGCTGGCTCCGCCTACTTTAGGCTTCAAAAACGCTCTTCGGAAACCTACGGGTGACGTCACGGACACTACGTCCATGTTTTTATACAGTCTATGGTTGTTTATCATGTCCGCGGGTTGACGTGACGCCAATAACGTGATATTTAGCCCCTGGAATGCGAATTTTACCAGGAACCCCGCCAAAAAATGTGCATTTTACCCCCTGAACGCGATTTGCACCGGTGGAACGCAAATAGGCGGATTCTGTTGTGAAAACCTGCCACATATACAGGTCTTGTCAGGTCTCGTCTATGGCTAGGGGTGCTTCTCAATTCTTATTTGTGCATCCTCATTTCCTTTCCTCGTGTCTTAGCTCCACCCCTTCAGGATGCAAGGGAAGGACGAACGAAAAGACATGAGGATTGAGGAATTGAATCAAGTGAAATGATAAATCCTCACTCTCTTAGCGTCACTTCAAAGCGACATCAGCTACGCTAAAGGGATCTGACCTTATGTTGTTAAAGTTTGTTATTTAAGACATTCATAATAAATATTAATAAAGCAAGATGCCCTGTTTGAAATATATGACATGTATGGTTTATTTAAACTGCAAAGGTAAAATATAAATTAAAATTATTACAACAGATGTGAAGGGGGAGGAGAATGTATACATGCGTCAGGTTTTTCCGATGAAAAACACTTCCGCAAAGGATGCACCTGTGTATCCGAGAAGGGCCTCTGGGTGTATCATCG